CCTCTTGAATTTCTACCTCTTTGTCTTTTCTGTTTGGCCTCTTCCCATGTATCTCTATAATTGTACTCCACTTCTGGTTATAATAGCTTTCACTTGCTCCTTTGGATTTATCATTGTATTACCTGGCAATGTCTCTTGTGGATGTTCTGTAAGCTGTTGAGCTATCTAACTAATTTCTGTCTCTAGTTTCATAATAGATGTCTGCTGATTATGAAAGTTTGTGTCAATTTGTTGTAACACCTTGTGTGTCTTTTGCATATACTATTTGAACATCTCCCCCAAACTTGGTTTTTCCTCTTATTGGGCATTATGTGAATCATTCCCTTCTTGATTATCTGACCATCTAAAGTTCGGGTGTTGTCTCCATCCTTAAAATTGTGGGAGACATTCTGAATGAAGTTCACTCACTACAAGAAACTATGGCTTTCTCGACCAACTTTTCTTGACCAATCAAAAATTAGTAAAAAATTGATTTCACTAACCAATAAATTTTTTTAGTCAGATATACTTTTACCAACTGAGTTTTCCTGACCAAATGGAAATGGTCAATAATAATCATATATGCTGACCAAAATAATTACTAGTCGGCCTAAACTATACATTTTTGCCAACTACTATGAAATGGGTCGGTAGATATCTTATTTTTACTTGACACCTTAACATTTACCAACCAAAATAGTGTATTCGTCAACCTCGATGAGACACATTTGCCAGCTAAAGGTCGGTAGATATCTTATTTTACTTAGCACCATAACATTACCGACCAAGATAATAAATGAGTCGGCCTAGATGAGACACATATGCCGACCAATTTTGCCCACGTTCTTTGGTAGGAGATTTTAGCACCTAAATATTTACAGACAGAGAAAATTAGTCGACTTTGGAGATAAACAATTGCCAAGCATATGAAACCGGTCGGTAAAGTACCTATTTTGGGCCAAAAAATTTTGATGGCACCAATAGATTTACTGACCAAGATAAATACTAGTTGACCTAGTCAATGCTTAATTGTCGACTAGATGAAATCAAGATAAATATCAAATTTTGGGCCAAAATTTTTGCGGGCACGTGGCGTATACTTGGATTTTTTTACTCAAAAACATTTGGCTATGTCAAGAAGTGTGTTTGAGTACATACATTATTCACAATAAAAAATTATTTTGTAAAAATGAATATAAATTTCATTTCTATGTTTTAAAAATTCAAAATTTCAATAAATAAAGTGAAAAATGTAGAAAAATGCGAGAATTTGTGAATAATAATATTTATCTAAAAAAATCTAAAAACTTTTTATGTTTCTTAATTTTATCATATACTTCATACTTGTTGCACTAATTGAGTAAAAATTGGGGAAAAAAAACTATCGAAGCTATTTTAAAATGTCAAATGTTATAAGAAAATTTGGTATTGGAAGAATTAATACAATATAATTCAAAGAAAATTATTTGATGACCACAAAGTAAATAGTTTTCATTGGTTGCTTATATATCAGTGAAATCAGAAATAACTATTTAAGCAGGGCAGCAAATGATTTGGTCTGAATTTTTGAGAACTAGACAAGACTGAATTTTGAGAATTGGAACATATATTTTCTTAACAATTAAAAATATTTGAAAATGCATTCAAAATAATAAAACTGTAATGTTGAGAAAACGGCAAAAAAATGGAATTAAATGAAGGAAAAACTAAATTCAATTAATTGTGACACTGAAGTATGAAATACTTACAAATTTGGTTACGTTAGACTCGATCGTAGCAATCACAATATTAGTGAAATTGCATGAAATCATTGCTTGATAAATCTCCAACTGTAAATAGCATTTTATTATTTCATTCAATCTCTTATCGACATGTTCGAACCTTCACAGGATGTGCATTGCCACTATCCCAACCATGGTAGTTGTTGGTGCACAAAAAGAATAATGCAATGTTCAATCTAAACACTGAAAGACCTCTCGTAATGTTTCTACTAGAAGAATGATGATAGTTGAAATTTTGTTTCGCATTTTAAAACCTTCTTCAATGGTGATTTGTCTAATTCTAGAATTCTTGAAAATAATAGCTAATGTCGAAAAATTTATATGGGGTGATATATCCAAGCGTATGAGCTAATCACAATTCCAGTTTCTATTTTTATTTTATGAACTGGACTGGAACCTCTGGTTCGAAATGTTCGATTACAGTTATAATGACATCTAATGTCAAAGCTTCTATATAAGGCAATATACTCAAACCTATACATGAAACTTGATTTAAAAAATGTAGTACTTCCTCGATGTAGGAACTAGAAAATATATTTCAAGATGTGAATTGGCATAGCAAGAATGCAACTATCGAGATTAGCATGATAAATTGATTGACCCAATAAATTTAGTTATGCTATAATTAATAAAATTAATTTTAAATAATTTTCTATTAAACATAGTATAAATATTAAAACTTCGATTGAAAATCAATTCTTAAGAACATTCGTAATCGGATTATCTTTAGTGATTCTTAAGGATCTTTATTATTGATGATCGGTCACCATGGAAACAACGAAAAATTTGAATTTTTTTAAATATTGAACTAAAAATATATTTATTCTTATTAAATTGCATTAAAGTTATGAATTTTAAAGTATTTATAAAATCATTTATATTTGAATTTTGATTACCAATTAGAGAAAAGAAGGGTAGAGAAGATGAAATTTTAACATGACATAATTGTGGGGTATATTGATCAAAGATCTAGTGCATCTTGATGTAAGTAGAAAAAGAAATTCGGGAGAATCGAATTCACTAATGTTTCTCAAGGTAGAGCCGAGAATTGGACAAAAATCGATGGGTTCTCAATGTATAGTCCCAACTCGACCCATTTAGTATAGGAATTGGATTCGAACTAATAGGTCATATTTGATTCTGATCCGATTGCACCGATTCTAGGAAAAAGTGCCCATCTCTAATAATTATCTATACTACATCATTAATAACTTAAAATAATTCAATAGCGGCATTCCTGTATAAATTATCTCAATTAATCAGGTATTTTTATTTGTAATTTAATAAATTTTGAAAAAAAAAAATTACATACAATTTTTTTAAATAATTGCCAAATAGGGACTTAGTTTCATTTCCCCCCAACATTAATACCATAGTCACGAGCTACTCACTAAACTTAAATATACTTCACACTACTCATTGAACTTTCTCCATTTGCACCCCATCCACCATTCTCCAAAATTCGTTACAATTTTTGCTGTTGTGACAGACGGAATTTTGATGTGCCAATTAACGTCCGTTAAAAACAAGCCAATCACTTTGACGTCCTAATCAGCAAAACTTAAAAAAAAAAAAAATAATAATAATAATAAATAAATAAATAAAGGGGAATTTACACAAATGTCACTACATATGAAAATGCACAAAAAATTTTGTCTTGCACAATTTTTTTGCAAAAATGTCACTTTTTCCCCACAAAATGTCCATATTACCCTTTGACACCTTTTTAGGAGCAATAAATGCTTGATTTGAATGCTATTAATGGTGTGATGTGATTATTTATTTATCTTTATTGTTAATATTGAAGAAATGAATATTATATTGTATAATATGAATTTTTGATTAAAAAAATGGGTGAAATGTATACAAAGAGCACACACAAGTAGGAGTTGAAATAGCTTCTTCTTCTTCATCATCCCCCTTTCATTATGAACAAGGCATGAAGGAAAGCTATTGATCAATTTCAAAGGTGAGGTAGTAGAAAAGAAATTTTTGCATGTCATACTTGAGTACTTTAAATATTCAATAAAACATGGTCAGAATTAATTGTCCATATTTCATCTCTTATTCATTGGTTTTTTGTTCTTGGTATATTTTAGAAAGGGAAGAAATACCAATATTCTAAAGAAAATGTGAATCATTTTATATGTAACTCTATATTTAATGAAGCATTGAGTTATACTTTCTTTGTGTGTGGGGATATCAGTTGAAGTTGTAGTTGAGAATTGATTATGACCATTAGTGTGCTACAATAAATTCCTGAAACAGTAAAACACATTTTTTGTATGCTTCCCGAAACTTATGCCGGTCAAGTGTTAAGCAGTTTCGTAGAAACTGTCGGGTTAGACATTTGAACTGTCGAAATCGACATTTAGTAACTGTCGGGATGGGCAGAGAATTCAATTGTCGATTTTGACACCTGAAAAGCTCTCTTTTTGGTACTACATGGATCAAAGTATTGTAATGAGCCAATTTGACTGTATGAAATCTTTCGACAAAAATGTGCAGAATTATGACTTTTGTACTCCCAACATTTCAGGTATGGCTCAGGATCTGAGATTCATCGTGTCGCATGGGGGGAACTTTGTTCACGTGGATGACGAATGGAAGTGGAGAGGGGACAAAACGACTTCCATTTTAGCGCCGAGAAACATTACCGTAACAGAACTTGTATTAAGATTGAAGGAGAAACTTGGTATTGTTGAACCCCGCAATGAAATTGAGTTGAAGTTCAAAGTCCCGAATTTGAATATACCTCCGATAGAGATACACGACGATGAGGACCTAAATTGGTACGTATCTATTTATAAGGAGACTGCACTCTGCGTCACTATTATGGAAATCGAGGTTCCTAGTGTTGACATGGCGAGAGAAGCAAACTGTGTAGAGAACCGGTTCGGCCTAACGGAATGTCCCCAGACTTTAAGAAATGGTGAGGTCAATCATGAGCATAGTGGGTCGAACAACGAAGCACCCGCACATTCAATTGACCATATCGAGGCTGCAGCATCCATTGAGCACTTAGAGAACCTGTTACATGGTACGAATGATGCTATTATTGCTGAAATTGACCAGCCTGTGTCATCACATTCCATGAGTTTAGGCACAGATGAGTGGATGGCAGCCGTCGTTCTCGCCGAAAAGCAAATATTCTTTAGTAAGAAATAGTTGTACTCTAAGATTCGTGTGCTTGCTTTGCAAGAGAAGTTTCAATTTCGGGTGAGCAGGTCAAGCATGAAAATGTTAACCGTTGTATGTGTGGATGATAATTGCAAGTGGATGCTACGTGCTTCTACTGTCAAGCAATCTGCAATCTTCATGATCCGTAAATTCATCAACATGCATACATGTTCCCTTGATTTTCGTCGTCACGCACATCGACATGCCACTAGTTCTGTAATTGCCGAGCACATTGTAGGCAAACTGGATACTCCAGGTCGATCGTATGACCCTACCGCTATTGCACGTGATATGGAATGTGAGTTCGGTGTGAAAATCAGTTATAACAAAGCTCGTAGGGGAAAGTTTCATGCCTTAACTATGCTACACGGTACACCGGAAGCCAGTTTTCAAAAATTGTCTTCAAACTGTCACGTCGTAGGAGAGAGTAACCCGGGGATAGTAACCCACATAGAACTCGATTCTCAAAATAGATTTCATTACTCTTCCTAGCTTTCGGTGCAAGCATTCGTGGTTACACGCAGTACTTGAGACCCGTTATTTGTGTTGATGACAGTCATCTAAAGGGGCCATACAAAGGGACACTTCTACTGGCAACTGCTCAAGATGGTAACAAACAGATATATCCGTTAGCATGGGGGATCGTGGATGTGGTTTACGTCCAACTTGAAAGAGCTTATAGGGGACTCCGAAGACCTCGTATTTGTTTCAGACAGAAAAAAGAGCATTGACAAAGTTATTACTCAGTTGTTTCCGTTGTCTCACCATGGTTGTTGTATTTGGCATCTCGAAAAGAACCTCATACAGCGGTACAGCAACGCAAGTTCAATACTTCTATTCAAACGAGCTGCTACGACATATCGGGTTGAGGACTTCGAAAGACTCATGGGACAGATCCGCAGGGTGAGCACAAGAGCGCATGGGTACTTAGAGCGTGCGGGTTATTCATTTTGGTCCCAAGCACTATTTCTTGGCCACCGTTACAACATCATGATGAACAACAACGCTGAGTCTCTGAACTCCATGTTGAGAGAAGCTCGTTCTTTACCGATAACTTGCTTGGTCGAACACATTCGGAGTACTTTGCAGAAGTGGTTTTATGAACGTCGGAAAATTGCGACCGATTGCAGTACAGTATTGACGCCGAGGATGGAAAATGAGTTACGGATGACATTTGAAACTGGAACTAGGCTTCGAGCCCAGTTGTTGACAAACAACTTAACTCAGGTTGGAATATCCAACGACGTGGACATAGTTGACTTTTCCGAAGACACCTGCACGTATTGTGAGTTCCAACTAAACCGTATGCCATGTGCTCATGCAACTCGTGCTCCTTGCTTCAAAGGGAAGTCTTTGTATGACCTTTGCTCCCCTTATTACACATCTGGTTACTGGAGGGGTGCCTATAGCGAAGCGATATACCATGTTGGCCGTGAAGCGGACTGGGTTGTTCCCAGTTTAATTACATCCACTCCTATTTTGCCACCACTCGTACGTCGCCCTCCAGGTAGACCACCAACCCGACGTAAGCGTTCAAGACACGAATCTGCATGGTCGAGCAGGAAATGCACTCGTTGTGGTCGTCTTGGTCATAATCGGAGTACATGTTCGAACCCCAATGTATCACAAGTTCCCTAAACGTTGTTAGTGCAATCGACGTTGTATGTTCAATGTTCCTTAGTGCCCTGCACCTTACAAAGTTATGTTATAAATAGGCAAATGGAATTGTAAATTGGGACGTTGTCCTTCTCTTGTTGTTGCTGGACTGCGCGCATCATGAACCCCATTTAAAATTTTTAAGTTCAATATTCATGCAGTATATTATAATTTCTAAAATCATCCACCACGGAAAGAAATCAGCTCTAAATAAATAGCATTTCATATCATCCAGCAAACGTTGTGCAAAATATAGGTGTAGGTTAATTTGTCGATCCCGACAGATAGAAATCTGTAATTCTCGACAGTTCGATCGGACTGGACTGGACTATACACAAAATACACTACCCGGATTACGGCGAAAGGAAATGTTCATGCAGACATTTTCATTTTGTGTTAACCAACTGCATCCCTACAAAAGAGTGGACTGTACACTACTTATTCACCACACTCCACGGCCGGCATTTCACTCGTCGTCGACAACCGAACTTGCTCCCCCGCTGTCTTCACCTGACTCGTCAGACGAGATGATAATGATCTCGTTCGCTGGGGCGTACACCAGCCCATCGTCGTCCTCAGAATCCCCCTCGTAAGCAGTGTCGACCGAGAGCACAGCATCAACCACATCGTTCTGTGGCAAACCATCGTCACTCCCTACATCTTCCAAGTTCGGGAAGGGAACAAGAGAAATGGCTCTCCTACCCATACGAAGCTCAATTTCGTCATCGTCTGACGAAATGTAGATTGGAAATAACGGAGAGGAACCGGGAACCGGCATCGGCTCATCAATGTTGAACGGTTCGGTGCTTCCTGTGGACGAACTCATTATGCTTAGTAGTAAAGTATTGTTGAAACGAAATCTGTCTTTGAGAGCCACAAATTCTCACAATGATATTCCACTAAGCTGTCTAGAAGTGTGAACAATGTGACACTGTATTTATAAGCAAGTTGAAGAGGAAATGCAATTATGGTCATCATCTCCCCAATCACCAAGTCCAATCTCCTTGTTAATTTGAAAAGCAATTGGTGTGATGGTTCAATAAATTTATGGTACTGTTATCCCCCATTTCCCCATAATTAGTAGGACAATTAACACTCTTTATTATCTCTGTATAATTCAGTACATATACATTCCTGCACCTGAAATGCCTCTGTGCAAAGTATTCCCAGCAATTGTGCCATCTTTGTAACTGTAGTGCTTCAAAAAAATGGGATTACATTATATTCACACACGTGGTATACCAAGTATAGTTCTTATCAAAAATTTTGAAAAGTGGTTGTAAGTTTGTATATATGCTTCATAACAATGCCAATTTAACAACGATGTCAACACTGAGCATAGAAGAGAAGAAATTCTGCAGTTATTATCAAAATAAAAATTGTAATCACTATAATGTCCATCTTCTAGAGTAGATTGCAGTTCAGTTCCCATTTTACATGGGTGGACTTTCTTGGTGTCATCTAAATGATGTTCTAACCTGGAAACAAGGTGTACTTTAACGAGAATGCAAAGATCATTTTCTAAATTTCAGAAAACTGCTTATCATGTCAATGTAGGTTCCCACTGTTCACGTAACAGAAGACATAAACAAGGTATTAGACAATGTCATAACTTAAGGCAAGGCAAAATGTGGGACCCTTGTCAAAATTCCAAAGCACATGTCAAACGAAAATGTAAAGCGTCAATGTTAGAATAAACGTAAAAGCAAGTGAGTAATTGTTCAAGTCTACTACGTTCACCATCTGTACGCCTCGGCGGGTAAGCAAAAGCTAAAAACAACCCCATTGTCCTGCCATCCCGCCGCTTCATTCACAATTACTTCTTCAAAGTCTTTCCCCTCCCCCTCGTGTACGGAGTCCTCGTCGTAGGAGCGGGACGTCGTAGCCGGGCGGAGCACCGTCTCGTCGTAGAAACTCGACCTCTTCATTCTGGTACAGGCGCGAGAATAGGTACGTCAGCGGCGGGAACAGGTACGGTAGCGACAACACCTACATAACAATGGAAGGGGCCCAGTGAGTTACCGTCAATGACATTCACTAACCATACGTATTATACACAGTAGTAACGCATGCAATGAACTTACCTTCGCCATCTGTGACCTTGCAACCGTCAATCTCTGCATCGCTGACCGCGGCCGCATCTGAGGGCTCTGTGGCAGCTCCGTCTTATTAACAGAAAATACGTAAATGCATAGCATTCGACGAAACATTAGGAACCAAATGCAATGACATGAAATTGCGAAAAGTGCTTGTAATGGACGCACTACCTTCCTGGTCGTACATTGGAGTGGGCAACGACTCGTGCTCGGCATCCGGGCATGGTGCAATGTCAGCTCCCTCTATTGACAACAACAGTAAAAAGATGTGAGCACATTTTTTATGTCGTGTTTCGCAACATGCGTACTCGATGAAATAATAAGTTTCGAATTGTGCATGTAATACCCACATACCTGGCAAGTCTTCAGTTTCGACAAGCAGCTCCCCCTCGTCCCTGCATGGAGGACTGTATGCTCCGACTGTGGAAATCAACAGTGACGTCATGAGAGCACATTACATCTCCGAACTCAAGCATCGTACAACGACCAGGCAGTAACATGTGTAGAATCACTCGTTATTAATGCACGTACCTGGAGGCTGTGAACGTCCTGTGTCAACTCCCAATTCAATTGGCGTGGGCAATGGGTCTGTGCCTCGTCCATGTACGTCTACATCCCAATTGTAACAAGAAAAAAATGAATAACCTTGTGGTCGATTTCCAAAAATATAACCGAATAGCACATGTTTGATTCATACCTTGTGGGGAACAACTTGACGGACCGGGCTCGAAAATGGCGCCCGTTGAGCGCGGAGCAGTGGTAGGGGGATGTGGGGCCACCTGGCCAGTAATGAACTCACGGAGTTTTGTACATTCAAATGTCACGTGCTGTTCAATTTCAAGCTTCACAGTCCGGAGTCGCATCTCGAAGAGGATTCTTTGGTCGAGTAGCAGCTCCTCGACTTCCCCTTTCGTCAGGCTGGAATCAGATGTTCGAACTGGCTGTGAGTTCGTCGTATGCCCTCGCTCAGGTGAACGAATGGGTGCCCCTGCAGGGGAGGAAGAGTTACCGGTATCCTCACCGTCGTCGCCTTCGCTATCACTTTCCGACTCCCCATCGCTCTCATCATCTCCAGATGTCTCCCCGTCACCACTTCGTCCACTACGGACTCTGTCCTCCAAATCTTGACCTCCCGATTGTCCACCAACTCCACTTTCGGCGTGTAAGGAATGAATCTGCAGTGCAACCACATTCCTAGCAATGTCATCAAGCACGGGCACCGGGGGATCGTCGTACGGCACGAGCGACGACAGATATGGCTGCTCAGCCTCTGCATCGGTGGGACGGAGAGTTGCGTACACATGCAGCTGCTAAATGAGGTTTAGATAATCACATTAGAACGTGCCAGATAGTAACAAGATGGTAAAGGGGAGACAAAGACATGTCGAAAGTCTACCTGTACATTCTTGAAAAATGCATCGTATGTACGATGCTGTGGCTGCTTTCGAGCGGACCAACGAAGAATTCGTGGTAGTCGTTCATCGACTCGCTGACCGAAGCATTCCCCAATCTCCGGAATCGCCTCAAACGCCCAAACCTGTTACAGCAACAAAAACACATCACAATTACAGAGATTATATGCGCAATGCGATGGGGAAGTCGTAAACCGTGCATGTAAAATTACAGAGATTATATGCACAATTACAGAAACACAGTCAAATTACAGATATTATGTGCGTACTTGCATGGCGATGGGGAAGCCATGAACCATGCATGTAATCTCTTTCTCCTTGCTCCTCTTGGCCTTTTCGAATTTTCTTCCAAATCTGCCCCGGAATCCGTGCAACAATCGCTTATATCCAACTCTATCCCAGGGGTAGGAAAAAAAGAAGTTCAGGTCGTCCACCATTGATAAAAATGGAAAATGGATACCAACGTTATTATCCGGAGCACTGAATACTCCCTCGACAATTAGAACAAGGCCTAGATTGTAGCGATCAGCATGGGTCGTCGATGGTCGGGCAACAGTACACTGTAGTTGTGCCAATGATACCTTGTCATTGGACTTAAAGTACCTCTCTTTTAACCTTTTCCTCTCAATCAATCGATCAAAATCGTCTCCCTCGGGGAATGCACCGCATCTTAACCCCGTCATCGCAGCGTACTCTTGTAGACCGAATCTCATCAGGTGTCCTTGCACATTGAACCAAAGCTCGTTCGCCTTTTCTGTGCGGATTGTTCTAAACAGTAGCTGTAGGATTAGCTGGGCAGAGAATTGAATGTCTGGAATATCAGCCAGATACCCGAGGGGGGAGTTGCGAAAGTCCTCACGTTGCCGCTCGTCAAAATGGTCCATCACAGTCTTAACATACTTGAGGTTGCTGCGTTGGGAAATGTGGGCGCGCAACCGTGCGTCTTCTGGAATCAGGAATTCAAACTCCATATGCCCTGCAAGGTGCGTTGACAAAACCCATGAGATTAGATTATAAACATAAACAATATTGTATAATGTCTAACGCTATAAGGATTCAACATCATGGATGCGCTGATCTATTGAGAACTACAGAGATCATACGTCGGTATCGACAGATTGTCTGTGGACATCTGTCGATACCGATGGTTGATGTTGAAATACGCATGCAACGCTAACTGTCGAGAAAAACAGAGATTCAACTGTCGGGGTCGACAGTTCACTGGGAGTTGGTATGCGTGCTGCGGGGTGCAAGTTGAACATATTAGGCAGTGCCACATACAAGTATGTTTCAGAAGTAATAACGGAGGATGTGTGAAGGCAGACATGCATGCTAGAAACTGGAAAGATAGCCAACTGTATTTATGCATATGTCACCATACAAGCATGGGTTTTAACGTAAGTTACATTTAAAAACGCCCCATATGTTTTAACGTAGGTTACATATAAAAATGCCCCATATGTCTAACCCACTTCAAAATGAAAGAAAGTGATATGAATCCTCACCTGGTATATACAAACGGGAGGCTTGGAATAGAACACCAATGAATGTGTCCGGAATATGACCTCAGCACCGAAGTTAGAAACACACGTTCATAATTGAAAAAAAATGAAAAGGACCTACGGATTCGTCGCCATTCAAGTTATCATACTTATTATCAAAAATAGGAAACAAATTAAAATAAGTGAGCATAAATGGAGAGTCAATATGAAACAGTGAAGGATATGTATGCAAGTGATTTCATACACCTCAACTATTTGACGAATACTTAAGACAATCAATGACACCATTTTGTACACCTCAATATGGTCAACAGTAATTGAGACTATCAATGAAATGAAAGTAATAACTATTTCTCCATCCTAGGTATTCCATCAAATTGAGCAACCAAATCCTAGCATGAGAGAGTTTTTCCCTATACCAAATGAAATCATCGAAAATCTAATCTTGTTTACAACGTGTATTACATTAATTGACTTTTGCAGTCGCGGGAATTGGCTGCACCAAGTATTCCCATGCATGTATAAAGTTATACATCGACATTCCATGGAAATTTAATTTAATTAGAGGGATACAAAATTCCACAAGCACAACATGTTTCGATGTTCGTGTCTTCTGTCCAATGCAAACAAAAGCCCAGCCACAATAAAATAGGAAAACATACCCCATAGACCAAACCCCAACTTAGTCCACGAGATTTTCAACCCGTCTTATTCCCAGAGAATAATAATAATAACACAACACAAAATGTTTGAAAATGGGAAAACAAATAATAACAAATGTGAATAGGGTTTCATCACTTAACCAAAAAAGCCATAAGTGGATCGCTGACAAGACAATTAATCACTTAAACACCAATTCATCATGCCATGAATAACCTGCCAGTAAGATTACGAAACTCGGCAAGTGCACTACAAAAGCATAAGCAAATGGAATAGTAACTTAATAATTCACATGAATTACAAAAATTTAGCAATAATCCTTCAAACATATTGATTTCCAAGCTTTGACAATAATATTTTACCACAAGGCAAGACTTCTACCGTTTTCTTTTATTTTCCACAAAACAGGAAAACTACAAACCTCTACTTGAAGTTGGTGCTGCTTGAGGTACTTAATTGCTTCATCCAGCATTGAAGCATTGTTCGTCTAACACAATTGCAAAAGATAAACATTTGGAAATAACAAAGTAAACCCCATTAGATTTAATGAAATCAACACTTCAACTAAATACTAAAGAGGAAAATAAAATAATTTCTGCTTTCTACCTTGTTTGAATTTGGAATTAGATTTTGCAACGACTTTGTGTTGCCATTAATCCTGCTCCTCCTCCTCTGCCAAATGCATCTCATAATTTCAAAACGCGGAACTAACATTGGAATATATACATACAAACTTCAAAATGAAACATATAACGAAAATAACAAGAAGTAAAACTACAATTTTCTGTCTACAAAAAAGAACCTTTTTGAGACAAATTATACACTTCAGTTGCTCGGGTAATCTTCGATGAGTTCCGACGTGGTGTTGGCTTCAGCAGTGCCTCTTCTACCAAGGCTTCAATAGCATCCTACATATGATAACTATGAAATTAAACTCCACAACGAAAAAATATATTAAGGTACACGAAAACATAAATGGAAGCAGAAATTTATGCTAACAAACGTAATTGTAACATTGTATGAACTCCCACAACCCACAGGATCTCAGAAAGCCGTTATCCAAATCATTCGCTACAAAAGTAAGTTTCGACGGAAAATTTTTTAACCTATAACATTAATTATGGAAGATAAATTTAGATTAAACGTGACAATATATTAAATACATTTCGCACCTACAAATTATGTCAAACATCTTAAAATTGGACCACTACAATATCTAAAATTCCTATATTTCTTACAATTGAGATGTGTAACAGTAAACTGTAAACCTCCAATGAGATATGAGTCACGTTTCTTTATGTCATTATACTAAATTATTAATCTTAATCTCAAAGTAAAGAATTGTTATTAATAAATAATACATATATGTTCAAGTTTTATCTAGAGTATCAACAATAAATTTTAAAAAAGCCCCCTTTGCTTTGAGTTTGAGTTACAATACTTGATTAAAAAGTGGAAAACAAATCAAAACCCAATTCATTGAATCCACAAAATACATAATATTGTTTTCATACAAGTAAGTTCGTCCAATTGCCATAGACATTCTCCAATTAGTCTGTCGTTCTGTAATCTGTGTCAATAACAAAACTTAAAAATCCTAAACCTAAATGACAGTTGCAAAACTCCAATTCCAATTAATGCTATTGGTATTGTAAAAGTGCATCCTCTTCTCTATAGAAGGCAGAATCCTTGATGTCAAATGAAAAGG